TTCTCACCATGCGGCCCCACTCTGGCCCTTTCCCCAGCATGCCGCCATCTGCCCCCTTATACACTCACAGTATTGTTGGTTTCTGTCTGAAAGCCCCTGTCCTGGCTGTCATCCCTTTGCTCACTGTGGCCTCATAGCTGGTGATTCCTTGCATTAGGTCTGGGAATTCTGGAGTAAGGTGTCATGAGCTCAGACTTTGCCCTGGTGTTTTTGGTCCTGCAGCAGCCTCTGGTCTCTGAGCTCTTCTGAGATGGGGAGACTAAGAACAGGTTGCCATGCTGGTTGCTCTTTTCCCACTGCCTTCCCCATGTCCCATCTCTGATGATTCCACCTGTAGAGGTGGGCAAGCGCAGTGGGAGATCTTAGGACCGCAGCAGAAGCTATGTGGTCAGCAGGCAGTGCAGTTGGCCCCACTGCAGGGAGAAATAAGGCTTGCCGTGTGCCTTATTCAGAAGCGGACAGCCAGCCTGCTTCTTGGGTGTCAAACTTCTGACAATTGGGAATGACAGATATTTAATTTTACTTACCTTGGGGAGCAAAAAGGCCCCAATCCTTTGATAAATCAGGTCTGTGAAAGCAGATAACCCCAGGCCCTGAAGGACCCACCCCCTTCTCCTTCCCTCCCCTCTTCTCCCTCTTCTCTCCTACCCTTTCCCATCATTTCCCCTTCTCTCTTCTTCATCTTTATTTTTCATCATCTTTCCCTTCCTTCCTTTCCTCTTTTTCTCTGTCAAACTCTCTCAACTCCCACCAGATATTCATTGTTACTTAGCAGAAATCACATATCTTGCTCAAAGGAAGAAAAAAAAAACAGCTTTCTTGGTACTTATAGATCAGGGACTTAGGTAAGGGATGTAGTTGGGTGGGATAGGATTCAATATTAATCTCTTTATTAGGGACAATTGTATACTCTCTACCACTGCCTGCCACTGATCCCTCTGTCCTCCTCAGTCCCCATTGCCTGCTCCAGTGGTCTAAAGCTGTGATGGTTTTTCTCTCATGCCTGCTGTGAGCTGAAGATTGGTGGAGAGCTGTCACTACTTTGAGTGCCAGCAGCACCTACAACATGGGAAATATGTAGGATGTGTTTTCTCTTATAACCACTGTGTGGCTGCTGGTGAGATCGTGCCCACCATCCTAAAACCGAGCATATGTTTTATTGTGTTGTTATTTAAGTAAATGTTGCTCATGTTTTTATTAGAACAGTGTAATATAATGGAATGTGATCTATACTGTGCTCCATAGTGTCTTAGTTTAAACAGATATGTTTCTCGCCCTGCCCGCCCTGCACCACACACCTGCAAGTAAGTTTCTTTTGAATATTAACACCAGCAAAATCAGGGAACCCTTAGTAAAGGTGCTTAGGTGCTATTTGATATTTAAGGCAGTAAGCTCAGTTGGCCTTTAAATTCATTGATGAGAGCAAATTACTGTTTTTTAAATAATTTTAATTTTTAAGCATGTTTCATGTTCTAGGCAATATTTATTTGTTTAAATTATGTTTTTGTGCTAGGTTCCATAACAACTATGTCCCAATGTGAGGAATAAGACCTTACCTACTGAATGCTTCTTTTTTGAGACCGAGTCTCACTCTGTCACCTAGGCTGGAGTGCAGTGGGACGATCTCAGCTCACCGCAAGCTCCGCCTCCCCGGTTCACACCATTCTCCTGCCTCAGCCTCCCGAGTAGCTGAGACTACAGGTGCCCACCACCACGCCCGGCTAATTTTTTTATATTTTTAGTAGAGACGGGTTTTCACCGTGTTACCCAGGATGGTCTCGATGTCCTGACCTCGTGTTCCACCTGCCTCGGCCTTCCACAGTGCTGGGATTACAGGCGTGAGCCACCGCACCCAGCCCCTACTGAATGCTTTTAAGTGACTTTTCTTGGTTTAATTTATCACCTTTCATAGAGAAGGAAGCACTGGCTCATATAAGTTATTTGGGGAAAAGTGAATATTTGTAGTGTTTACAATGTCCAGATTCCTGCATCTTACCTTTGTATATAGCTGGGAACTTCAAAATAGAAAATTGCAACTTAACCAAGCATAAAATTCTATGTGTTTTGGGCAATTTCTGTTCAGAAGCTTATTATCCAGCTACTTCAGATAACTTTAACCACTTGAAACATAGTCATACGCCACAAAGTCAGTGGTCAAAGTTTCAGATTTGCTAAAACAGTTTCCATCAATTAAGGAACTACAAATCTATTTACTTTGCCACTATGGCAAAAGGCCTTGGACCTTTACTCAGAATTTATTTACTTAATTTTACATATGATTGTAAACTGTAATTATCTGATTTCTCAAATTAAAAGCTGTTAAGAAGCTGCCACTTAGGAAATTGAGAGCAACAAAAGACAGCGACACTGACTCAAAACGAGCTCTACCCAAACAGAAGGACGGGAAAGAGAAAAATGACTGTTCTGTGTAGTACAGTGCATCATGTTGTAGTCTTTATGAAGAAAAATTTAGAATATGGTCTATATATTCTGCCTCAAAAGGCACATAAGTACGTAATATATTTTAAGAGGATCTTTTAAAATCCAATATAGTTCAGTTAAAATCAGTTTTATAACTTACAGTACTCAACTCCATATATTATCATCTGCAGAACATTGCACTTCAGTTATTCCATTTGAATGTTCGTGCATTTACATGACGTTCCAGAAAGCTGAGAGATAACATATCTTAACTCACCGGTTCTCAAATTCCTCTAGCCCAGATCCCTTGTTCAAAAGATATTTTGACTCAGAATCTTGATTTGTAAAACAAAGACAGGAGGAGGCATTCCATTTCATTGACTGCATGAGGCTTCCTGAGTTTTCTCCGTGCCCTCCTCCCATCCTCAGTGACTTTCATAGGAGCCTAAGAAATCCCTGGAACTCCATAGAACTTAATGCAGAGCATAGTGTCAAGCATGAAGCTAGACTAGGACAGGAGTTATTGCCAAGGAGGGAGGCTTTTCAGGCATCCTTAAATCACAGCCCGTAAGTGGTTGCCTACCTGTGGTAATATTGCTTTGCTTATCCACAAAGTAATTTGCTAGGAGTTTCATGGGAAATGAATAGACTGGAATCAACTCCAGTTTCCTTAGTGTCACTGTAACTCTAATTAGCAATGTGACTCAAATGCCCCATGCATTTTCTGCAGGTGGTGCCAAAGCAGTGATTGGCACCAGGATATCCATAGGAAACAGAAGGGAAACCATGATTTGCTTATGGATGCTCTACCCTGTAAAGCAAAATAGAATTTTCTGATTGTTCTTTTGATTGCTACTGCTGTGCTACTGCAATTACTGCTCATGTTTTCTTGTTGTTCCTCCCCCTCCTTCTTTTTCTCTTCTTCTTTTCTTTTTTAGTAGTAGAACAAGACACTGTTCAGTAGTGTAGCTAGATGCTTTGGTTTCTTTTATCATTGTTATGTGCCAAAGCAATTGTCAAACTTATTTCATGTGCTACACCATGTTCTTCCCTCAGGAAGAGGAAATCCAAGAGTGATAAAAGCATCTGCAAGCAGAGTAAAGGCATCTCAGTCAGTGGATTTCTTCTACAAGTTTCATGGCAGTGGTACTGCAGTGTTTTAGGTTCTTTGTAGGTGGCTGATAATGTGTAAATACCCCATGTTGAATGAAGTCAGCTGTCCAAGACCTATGAGGCTGCAGTTTCTTTCCTGATCCTACCCCTCCAAGGTGGTGGTTTGCAGCTCCTCCAGGAGACTGGAGTCTCCTCTGGCCGCAGCAATACTTTTATTTCTTCTCACCTACCTGACACAATTGGCTCAAAAATTATACCTCAGCAGGGAAACTACTCCTCGGAAGGGGGAGGTTGCCAGCAATCTCTAAGAGTATCTTCCTTAAGGACAGGAACTCAAGGCCTTTCACACTTGGATGCTTTGATAGACCATTTGATAGATAGGCTTAGTTATAGTACATTACTTTCAGGCTCAAACACAGAAATTATTCATGCAAATCCTCCTTCCAGTCTGTCCTTTGTAGACAGGGCTGAACTTTCCTATCTTAGATCGTGTACGACACTGGCAGTCATGAAATGTAGATTCCGCTCATTCATCTCTCTCCATGCAGTCCATTTTTTATCATTAGAGAAAAAGATAAACTTTAAAAAGTTTTATTGTATTATAATTTTAAACTAGTATTGACTGTCAGAGAGGCCAACTTGTGTAATGCTTATGAGCATGAGCTCTGAAGCCAGACCACCTGGCCCTCCTGTGCCTTAATTCGCTGACCTCGGGCAGTTTTCTCATCAGTAAAATGGAATTAAGAATAGAACCTGTTTTATAGGGTTGTGAGGGTTAGGTGAACTACCATTCGTGAAGTGCTTATAAGAGCACATAGCAGATACTATATTCCTTTTTAGCAGCTTTTCCTGCTTTTGTTGCTATTCTTATTATTGTTTCCTGGGTGTAAAAGCTGAACTTGCCTTCTTTTCCTTCTGGAAGATTTGGGCAGAAACCCAAGTAACTTAGTCTAGACTCATGCCTGGGATAGAAGCCTAAAATGACTGGCCCCTGGAAATCTAGACACTTTTGCAATAGGGAAAGAATGCCTGTTTTCAACTTAGATCTAAGTTTGGATGTTGGTCTTGCCCCTTAGCTACTTGAGCGATAATGCAGAAAATATTTTAAAATGGAAGAGAATAATGCCTACATTGTAAGGTGCTGAAACTTAGAAATGACAGAATAAAGAGCTGGTTCTTATTATATGCTCAAAATATTGGAGCTATTATTATTATTTGAAGAGACAATCTAGCCCACCCTAAGTCATGCAGATATGGAGCTACTTGGTGAGTGGAGAGACTGTTGATAAAGTTTATTTAATATTTAAGATGAAGTTTTAAATTTGCTTTGTAATAGAAATAATTACAATATTTGGTGTATTTATGTATATATTATATATGCCCACTTTAATACTAGGGAACTCTTCGGAACTCTTCAGAACAGACTGTTAACATTTCTTTCTTGTCTTTTGAATTGAATGTTATAGAAATCAGCTCTCAGGAGGAAGTGTGCAGTCTGTAAAATCGTCGTCCACACCGCCTGCATTGAGCAGCTAGAAAAGGTAAGAGTGCGCCCCCTGCTGCAGCTTTGTTACATTGCAAGTATTTGGTCTTCAGAGGCCCAGTGTAACTTTCTAGTTCCAACTTTTTGAAAACAGTGCCCTTAAAAAAAAGCTGGAAGTCCAACATTATTACCAGATTAATAATGGAAAGACAATGTTTTAGGGTCATTCACTCTCGTTTGCTGAAGTGTAATTTGATATCATTTTACGTTGACTCTTGGGAAATGGAATAACAGTTAGATGGAAAAGCCTGGAATTCTCTTATTATATCATCTCAGTTCAAGCATTACTATTCACCCATAGGCTCTTCCACAAGTTGTTTAAGAAGGAGGAAGTTCTATAAGCTTTTTATAATTGTTGTTCACATATATCTGACTTGTGTGGTTTACTTCTTCTCAAAGTACCTGGAAGGGAGTGAGCCAAGCTGGAAGCCGGCTCTCAGTCTGCTGGGCAGTGCTCCTCCTGTTGCTGCTCAAATGTGTGGGTGGGACTGGAAGTGACATCCTGGTGGTGTCGTACCTCCAGAATAAGTGGATTCGGCAAATCCATTTATTTGTTATTTAGGGAATGGGAAAGGCACCAGTAGTGAGTTGCCTGCCATCCTTTTCCCTTTCACACTTCCTACTCCATTTTTATGTGTGTTTCTCTGTGTATTATCTATGTTCTTGAGCTGTCATGGGTAAAAGCATTGAAATATTTTAGTCCCCCATGACATTCATTTAGTTTCACTGACATGACCAGTTGATCCTAGCTGATGTCTTATGGCAATGACTACCAACATGTTATCTTAATATTTTCTTTTCTGCCCCAACTTCACTTACTGATCTCTGCCTTCATTCTTTTGCTCCTTTCACTTTATCGAGTAGCTAACCAAGATGTCAATGTACCTACTAGGAGACCTCCACATCTAAAAGAAAAGCAATGCTGAATCCTTTTATAAAGAATAACTCCGGGCTGGGCACAGTGGCTCATGCCTGTAATCCCAGCACTTTGGGAGGCCGAGGCAAGCAGATCACGAGGTCAGGAGATGGAGACCATCCTGGCTAACATGGTGAAACCCCATCTCTACTAAAAATACAAAAAATTAGCCAGATGTGGTGGCACGCACCTGTAGTCCCAGCTACTCAGGAGGCTGAGGCAGGAGAATCGCGAGAATCGCCTGAATTCAGGAGGTGGAGGTTGCAGTGAGCTGAGATCGCACCACTGCACTCCAGCCTGGGTGACAGAACGAGACTCCATCTCAAAAAAAAAAAAAAAAAAAAAAAAAAGTAACTCTCTTGTCTTTGAATAGTCATCATAATGCTAAAAAAATCTCAAGTTTATATTTTCTGTTTTTACAATCAGAAACCCAGCTGAGTAGTTTCAGCTGCCAATATCTTTCCTCTGGCTCTTTCTTATCTCAGTTTCTCAAATTTGTGGTGTAAGAGCATTATTGTTTAAAGATACTTAGATTTCATTCTTGAGAATGAAGGAAAGGGGTTGGAGATATAGAATCACCTGGGATCTCAGTTGATTATCTAATGCGATGATTTCAAAAGACTAAGAAGAGTATTGTTCCTTGTTCTTCAAAGGTTTTGCTTTTCAGTCTTAATATCTATCACTGTTTTTTTTTTTCCAGGTAATTCAGTCTAGTCTGATGCTTATCTCTAATATAATATACTTTTCTTTTTGAATGACAGATTAATTTCAGATGTAAACCAACATTTCGAGAAGGAGGCTCAAGGTCACCAAGAGAAGTGAGTATTTCAGAGCTTGATTTCAAGTATCACCTTTGATTTCTCATTGATTCAGTGGCTTCATAGATATTCACCAGGGAATAAAAAATAAATTCTATCTCTCTCCATTGCACGCCAATGTTTTGTTAACACATCCATAAATACAACCAATAAAATCTCCAAGTCTTTTCAACATGTGCACACTGGACTTTATTCTCATAAAATGTACTGGGGAGTTAAGGTCTTACCAAATGAACCAGAGACTAGAGGAAGGTGGTAGTGGTAGAATTGAAGGGGCAAGAAAGAAATAGACTTTATTTATTTATGTATTTTGAGACAGAGTCTCGCTCTGTTGCCATGTCTTCTGGTTGATTTTACGTGCATTTTCCAATTTTGAGTGGGTATAAGCTACTCATGGGGCAGCAGAGTAACTGGTTATTCCTATAAACCCTGGAGTCAGGTGGTACGCTTTTAAAACCAGCCTTGATGCTGTGTGATCTTGGGCATCTCACCTAAGCTCTCTAAATCTTGGTGTTTTCGTTTGTTAAGTAAATGAATAAATACATCATAAGCTAGAACTATATTCAGTTCTTGGTCTCTGACCCTCCAGTCTGTCGTGAAGATAAACAGGTAAAGAGGAAATTTGAATGAAGAGTTGTTACTGATGTGTTAGTGGGAAGCAGAGGTATGACAAGAGGAGACAGCACATATTTGTTCACATTTTATTTAGAGGAGACAGTGAGCACAGTTCAGGCAAAGATGAAGAAGGCAGGGAGGGTTCTCAGCCTTCCTGTGTTATTCTGGACAGTTTAGCTCCAGGCCCAAAATTGCACTCCCCAATCAGCGAAACAAAAGCCCGCAATGAACAGAACCTGTCCTCCTAGAATGTAGTTCCGCCTGCCCAGCAGTCACTCACTGCTTCCTAAACATTACCATCTTATACGATATCCTCCTGAGCACAAAGTCCAGTAAAGATGATTTCTGATCAACGTATTTTCTCAGGGAGATGAGGTTCAGTTCCACTTATAGATTTACTCCTTGGAAACCTTCCCAGATGGTCTACTCCTCCAATCAGCTCTGTGTAGTAACAAATAGGAAAGAGAGGAAAGGGGTCAGCGAAGGGGCTTCTCCTGAGGAGCTAAGTTAGTTGAGAGGAGGGTGGTTAGGAGGTGAGTGGTGAGAGCCTTCTGGATAAAAGGAAGAGCATGCAAATCCAAATGAGAGACTGTACTGAGTAAGACATGAGATCTGAGATAGCAAGAGCTAGATCGTGAAGGTTCCTGTAAGCCACGCTGCAAGTTGAGTGTTTTATCATCAGGATAGTTGGGAGGTGAGCATTAAACTACTTTAAGCCAAATATTGTTCAGGCTGCAGTGTGGAGGAAATACCATGCAGTTCAAGAGTTGGAGGCATACAGGCAACTTTCAGAAGCCATGCTAGTAGTCTAGGCAAGAAATCATGGTGACATTGAACTAAGAATAATGTTGGTAGATATGAGTTTGAAGGAAACAAAATTGACAGGATATAGTAACTGATTGAATTTTGGACACAAGAGGAGCCCAGACTAAACCAAGCTACTGCTACACACACACACACACACAAAACAAAACAAAACAAAACAAAAAAACTGAAAAACTGATTAGATGTATGAAAATGAGTTGATGTGAAGATGGGGTGGGGGAGGTAATGACTTTAGTTGTAGAACCATGAAGTGTGAGGTGTCCCTGTTGTCCTCAACTGGAGATGCCCAATAGAAGGTTGAGTGGGTATATGAGTTTGGAGCTTATGAGGAAGACTGGACTGGAGGTCAGGCATTGTGAGTCATCAGCATATTTACACAGTAATAAAAGCTGTGGGAATAGATGAACGTGGAGAGTGATATCTCAGAGGAGATATCTGAGAATTACAAACGTTTAAAGACAGTTGATGAAAAATGCCAACATGAATATGAACGCTCTAATTGTTAGCGACAAAGCAAAAGGATGGGAAAAATGTGGAAAGAGAGTAGGTTGGGATGGAGGTTGTAGAAAGAGAAAAACATAGTTGTCCTCATCGATTGTCCTCTCCCACTGTGTTTGTGCAGCATAGCAGCAATAGGAAGGTTGTGGGCCATGCACAGGATGAGGCGGGCAGGAGAAGAATGATAGGGCTGCGGTGTCGTAGTGCCACCCAGAGTGCAGACAGTGTGGGCCAGAAGGTAACTCAGTGACAACTCAAATGAAGGAGGTGCTTTATTTAGGAAACTGGAAGGGATAGTTTCATGTTAAGATGGAGTTTATGACTTTCTAGCCTGGGGATTCATATACCTACCTTTAGCTTTCTGCCCTCCAGTGTATATTTCTCTCTATCGATAGGTCAGTGTGGAGGCAGGGGAAGAGAGAGAGACAATTTTAATTGTGCAATTTTTCTTTTTTTTTTTTTGAGACAGAGTCTCGCTTTATCGCCCAGGCTGGAGTGCAGTGGCCGGATCTCAGCTCACTGCAAGCTCCGCCTCCCGGGTTTACGCCATTCTCCTGCCTCAGCCTCCCGAGTAGCTGGGACTACAGGCACCCACCACCTCGCCCGGCTAGTTTTTTTTTGTATTTTTAGTAGAGACGGGGTTTCACCATATTAGCCAGGATGTTCTCGATCTCCTGACCTCGTGATCCGCCCGTCTCGGCCTCCCAAAGTGCTGGGATTACAGGCTTGAGCCACCGCGCCCGGCCTGTGCAATTTTTCTAATACAGCATGTTTTTGGTTTTTATTAGCCTGTACCACTTCTCTGAAGCTAGACCTTCCATAAGGGTTTTGGATATTCTCCCTTGTCTTCTTATCAAGGACTTGAAATTCCTTCCTTTAATATGTTTTCATCACCCCCCTCTATTTCTAGATAATTTCTACCAGCATAAACACACTCTAATAATTTCTATCTTTAAAAAAAAAACCAAAAACACTCCTTAGCCACCAACTGTGTCTTACCTACTGCTCTAGTTGTCAGTTTTGTAGTCACTGCCAAGCTTCCAGAAAGTGTTAACTATATAAATTATTTTCAGTATGTCACTTTCTAGTCATTGTAACCTGTTCTAATCTGATGTCTGCTCTATCCATTTACTGAAATTGCTGCTGCTTTCAGTTTGCCTATGATCTCCTATATGCTAAATGTATTAGGTGTTATTTATTTTTCTGTTCTTCTCAAAAATATTCAAGATACTACATATTCCATCCTTCTTGGAATGCTCTCCTCTCTTGGCTTCCCATATCACCCTTTCCTAATTTTCTTCTTGCTTCATTGGATAGCCCTTTCTATTCTTTTTCGTTGCTTACTCCCCCAACTTCTGCAAATCCCTCTGAGCTTAGTTCTTGTCTATGTTCTCTTCTCTCTGCCCACTCCTGTTAGAGGAGCTCATCCGGTCTCATGGCTTCAAATACCATGTGGGCTGACAACTCCTAACTTTACATTTCCAGTCTGCCTTTCTTGGAGTTCCACTTGGCATGTCTTTTGAATGTATCACAGTCATCTAAAATATAATACATCAAACACTAGACTATTTCCATTACCATAAAAATGATTTAAGAAAATCCTATGCACCTCAGGAAATGAGGTGGCTGTTGATCTGGCTTCTCAGTTGAGAAAACTGGGGGGTCATGTTTATTCCTTCTCCCATAGACTCCCCACATCTAATTCATTTGCCCGTCCTTTCAATTTTTTAAATAAAATATATTTCAAATCCACCCAATTATCTCCAATTCTGTTATCAGCACCTTAAACTAAGGTACTGTGACCTCTCCCCTTTGGCCAATGCAATAGCTTCTTCATGACTCTTCAGTTTTCACTTTCAGTCCACCCATGATTTAAAGAAGTAATCTTTCAAAGTGAAAATTAGATTATGAGGTTGGTGCAAAAGTAATTGAAAGTAATGACAAAAACCGCAATTACTTTTGAACCAACCTAATATAATTTTCCCTGGCTTAAAACTCTCCACTGGTTTCCATAACTCTTAGAGCGAAAGCAAACCCTCTGTCTTGGCATGCAAAGGCCCACGTCGTCTGGCCCCTGCCTGCCTTTCCAGCCTCCTCTAGCTCCCATATAGACTTTCTTTCCATTTGTGTGGCACACACAAAGATATTCCCCACCTTTGGATATTTGTGTATTTCATTGCTGTACTGAAAATCTCTTTGCGTGACTGTTTCTTACAGTTAGGCCTCAGTTCAAATATCATCCCCCTCAGACGCTGTCTTAGTCTGTTCAGGCTATTGCAATGAAATACCATAGACTGGGTGGCTTATAAGCAACAAAAATTATTTCTCACAGTTCTGCAGGCTGGAAGTCCAAGATCAATGTATCAGCATGGTCCCATTCTAGTGAGGGCCCTCTTTGGGGTTGCAGACTGTGTTCTCATTGTGTTCTCATTGTGTTCTCATGTGGAGGAAAGAGGGTGAAAGAGTTTTCTGTTGCCTCTTTTATAAGGACCCTGATTGCATCCATGAAGAGTCTATCCTCATTACTTGATCACCTCTCAAACACCTCACCTCCTATTACCATTGCATTGGGGTTTAGGATTTCAACATACAAATTTGGAGGGGACACAAACTCCAGTCTTTTGCTGAGGTCTTCCTTAACAACCACCTTTAAATACATAGTATATTGTTCTTTATCAAAGTATCTTGTTCTTTCTTTTCAGGGCACTTTGTATACCGTAATAATTTATGCATATTACCGTTTGCTTGTCTAAAGAATGTCTCCCATCTTTAGTGTAAATTTTGGGAGGTCACTCATAGATTTTGTCCTAAATTAATTGCACCAAAATACAGAGTATGTGATTGATGGATATCCGCTGACCGAATACATTTACAAAGGTATTCATTTCTCTCAAAATGTTTAGGAACTCTTAGTCTAAAAGGACATTTTGAAGATGAAACTAATGACTCACTGACTATAACCCATTTGATATTCTTAATTAAAAATTAAGAATTCTTACTACTACTAATTTAGATGTTTACCTAGTAAATATTTGCTTTAGAATTAGTTTGACCTTAGTTCGAATTATACCTCTGCTTCTTTTCCACTAAGTGGTAAGAGTTTCTGGAGCACAGATTGTTGGTCACTATGCCCTGGCATTTGCATAGTGCCTGAAGTGTGACAAGTTTTAAATAAATATTTGTTGGAGCCATCTAAGTTGAATCTTTCTGGATCTCCTTTTTCTTAGTCATAAGCCATGATGGATTGGGTTATGATTTCTAAGATCATTTCAAACTCTATAAAATATATATATACATATATATATATATATAATTTTTTATTTCCATAGGTTTTCGAGGAACAGGTGGTATTTGGTTATGTGAGTAAGTTCTTTAGTGGTGATTTGTGAGATTTTGGTGCACCCATCACCCGAGTGGTATTTACCGAACCCAATTTGTAGTCTTTTATCCCAGTTCAACTGGCTGTTTGAAAATAGCCAAGCAATTGTATTATGTATTTTTGCTAACAATACTGAATATAAGCCCTGAAATAATGCATTACCAATACTTTAACACCCATAAGTAATAGCCCTTTCCTTGCCCAGTGCTTGAAGTTGTATATGAATAATTCAGAAGTTATTGATGAGCAATAAAAAGGTTTTATGATGTTAGAAGCCTTGCTTTGCTATCTTAACAACAATGTGTCAACACTCACATTTGCAGTGTTAAGGATCCTGAGTCCAATGTCAGTTCAACAACTTAGGAGCTCTTAATAATGGTCAAAAGAAAAGAGGGTGAGAAATGAAAGCATTAGGGATATAAGGATTAGAAAATATAAATGATTCTATTGTAATGTTATTTTCCTTATTGATGAAGGCAATTGATGATCCTCCCCTCCTCCGTGGTAACTATGTGATTTAATTGTCAAAGAAATTAGGTGGATAATTCCATTCAGTTCAACACACATGTATTGGATGTTTGCTTTGTTCAAACTATCATTAAGCAGCAGTAGAATAAATTTCTATTGGGCCTAAAAAGAACTCTGGACAGAAGGGTGCTGGACATCTCAAATCACAGAGCTATGTTTTGGAGACAATTACTCATTTTCCTCTATGACAGTGATTTTGTATAAGTTAGTTTATCAATTCATGCCTTAGTTTTTGACTTATTTTCTAGGAAGGATGATATTAAAAATATTTAACAAATGGTAGAGCCATAGAGAATAATATTTAAATAATTTTAAAATGTTTTTTTATTCCCCAACTAAACTATATGATATTATACATCTGCTTACCAAATTATATACAGTAGTCCCCTCTTATCCATGATTTTGTTTTCCAAGGTTTCAATTACCCAAGGTCAACCACAGTCCAAAAATATTAAATGGAGAATCCCAGAAATAAACAATTCATGTTTTAAATTTCATGCTGTTCTGAGTAGTGTGTTGAAGTCTTATGCCATCCTACTCTGTCCTGGGATATGAAACACCCCTCTGTCCAGCGTATCCACTACCTGCCCATTCATCACTTAGTAGTTTTCTCAGTTATTAGATTGAAGAATCATTGTCTATGTAAAGTTTGGTACTATCCATAGTTTCGGTCATCCACTGGGAGTCTTAGAACATATCTCCTGGGAAGAAGGAACAACTGCGTGTTGCAGTAAAAATGAGGAAGTCAGTCTTAAGATTCCTAAATAATTGTTGATATATGGAAAGTGTTGGCTGACTGTTTTGAGTAGAGCTGTCACTTGCTAAGTGATCCCATGAGTCAGCCATGATTTCACACAGGTAATTGCATCGAATGTTTCCAACATGTTCCTTCTTAAATTGATAGTCATTAGCTGATTTATAATCTCAATAACTACAGATTTTTTTCTGAACATCAATGATATTGTTCATTTTCCCTCAGCTTCTGCTACACTAACAGCAATTATATTACATTTTTCTATTCTGTATGATACTGTCTGACATTTTTATATATTCAATATTTCTACTACTGTCATTGAAATCATTCATTGGCGTGTCATGTTGAAGTAGTGTGAGCCCTGTCTTGCGGAACAGAGGAAAGGCACAGTGACACAATGGTAAGAGCACAGATTCTGGTGCCAGCCTGTCTGGGTTTGGACCCTCACTTTGACCTTTACATTTTAAGTAATGACTTCTATGCATTAGTTTCCTTTTCTGTAAAATGAGAATGATATTGACCATGGAAGTCAAACCCTCTGATAATGTGTGAATTGGGATATGCTGCAGTTGGCAGCTGGCTCGGGTTCTCCCTAATGCTTATTCCTAAGCAGGCAGTGGACTAAGGTTCTCATCTTATACGTTGAGTAGGCAGATGCTAAAGGTGTCAGCAGTAGCCTCAGCTGCAAAGTAAAGAGGTGGAGGGTCCAGTACCTTCATCCTCAGTAGAATGTTTGCACTAAACTGATGGGATAGATACTGATAACTGGGCAGGTTATTCTGGAATTGCTGTCATTTTCTTGAAAGCCACAGCCAGTCACAGGATCCAGAATTGTCCATCCATGTGGATATTTAAGGTTGTACAGACAACCACTACCAGCTGGGCCCAGCCCCCAGCATTCTGAGATTCTTTGGGGGAACCAGTAACATTGCTCAGACAATATGATTTGTTTTCAGAAGAGAGAGATCATTGGAATAGGATCCAGGAGACCTATTATGTCAGAAATTAACATTGTAATTGCTTAATATTGAGGAGGTAGAAGTGGTCTCTAATGTTGAGGGGATGCAAGGGAGCAGTCAGAGAGATGCTAGGGGCACTAAACTGCAATTTCCCAATCAACATATATTTCAATATTTCAACAACTCATCGGATTTTACCGATACATTTCAAATAAATGGCATCTCTACTCATGAAAATTCTCATGAAGATTAAAAGAATTATTACTTATAAAATATTTCTTAAAGTGCATGGCTCATAGTACACAACAAGTGTTAGCTTTTATAATTAGCTTCTTTCTTAGAACAATCTAAGCTTGTGTCTTTGTTTTATTAAACTGTGGTAGTAGGAAAAGCGAGACAAACATTAGACTAAATTGTGGGACCATTGTGCTTCTTTATATCTGATTATAGTTAAAAGACCATTATTCCTCCAGGGTCTTTGTTTAGTTTTAGTTTAAGTGGATTTGACATTATTAAGAGAAATAGAGGTGGCATTTCAGTATTGATAATGCTAATGCTTATTAACGGTATTCTTGTCACTCTGAATTTCATGCCTTGATATATAACTTTTTTTCCCTCTACACTGATCTATTTTCTGTCCATCTGTACTTACTAACAGAACAGTGCCTGGCATGTAGGAAAAATTTAAATAATTGAATACATGTTAAAGTGAATATATAAAAATAAATTAATATATATTAATAAATTGAATATATTGAATTGAATATATTAATATATTAAATATATTAATATATATTTTAAATTGAATATATATTTATATATTAAATTGAATATATATTAATATATTAAATATATTTTAAAGGGAAAATAAGGACTATGGCTAGACCCTACAATAGACATGTTAGTATTAGATTAAGTGTGTTTTTCCAGAAAAGGGCAAAAGAAAATAATGAACACTTTATGGGTATTGTTGTCAGAGGGATGAATTGTTTGTAAGTTATGAGGGCTTGCCTGCATTCTTAGTCCTGAGGATGACTTTCTTGTAATGGTGAATGGTGCTACTTGACTCTGCCCCAGGAGTGCTTGCCTACTTGGGAGGAAAAGGATTTTCTGTGTTTCCTACAGTCTGAGACAAAGATAGACCTTGAAAGCTAATCTGTAATAGTTCATGGTACCCAAGGATGGTTTAAACACAATACCACTGCAGAAACATCATCGATATGCTTATATCTCTTGTCCTTGACATCTCTTGCCTTCAGCTTTTCTCTTTCTTCACTCTATCTAGTTAGTAATTCTCACATCTATGTCTTGTATTAGGAGATCTATTTCTGAGAGTTTGATCTACATTATCTCTAGCTAGAATGTTTGGTGTGGTGCCTGCCTGCCACAGATAAAGCACTACATACCTATTTGTTAAATTGAGTTGGATATTGTTGTTTCAGCTTCTCCCCTTCACCTTTCCACTTTTCTTTGGCCATTTCTTTTACCTGCCTCAGTTACCTCCCAGCTCAAGGTCCTCTACTGTGTTCACAAATCTGCAGAGTGTTTGACTAGTAAGACGGTAGAGTAACAGAAATCTGGTGTGGCCAGTTGCCACTAGGAAGACGTGGAGGGAAGACATGAGAAGTGGAATCTACAGATATGAAAGATCTTTGGGGATGGAGAAGTAACTTCATTTGTCCAAGTAGATTCATGTTTATTGTTAAACAAATCATACTCATAAATATTTGTTTCTGGGCTCATATCATGGTTTATATAAATCAATAGTATTGCCACATTAAAAATGAATATTGAGGTTTGCAAATTAAAACATATTCAGTCAAGTGCAGTAGCTCATGCCTATAGTCCTAGCTATTCAGGAGGCGGAGATGGGAGGATGGCTTGAGCAGAGGAGTTCGAGGCTGCAGTGAACTATGATTATACCACTGCACTCCAGTGTGAGTGACAGAGCAAGGCCCTGTCTATAAAAATAAAGTTTTAAAAATATTCATTTAATTTTGTTTTCCCACAGAATTTTGTACGTCATCACTGGGTGCACAGGCGTCGGCAGGAGGGGAAATGTAAGCAGTGTGGTAAGGTAAGAGCCCAGTCACCTCATGGCCTCGCAGGAGGCTCCCCAGGCCTCTGCAAGCACCTGAGGTGGATAAGTCCTGTCCCTGAATCCAGTGTTCACTACATCAGTTCCTTTTTGAAAGACCTTACTTGTCCAGGTCTCCTTAAGAGGCATTGTAGTTGTTCTAGAACTCACTGCATGAGGCAATGGTGTTAATAAAAAGAATTAGCACATTTTAAGATACATGGATGCATTCTTACAGTGAATTTCATTAATGATTTTTGAAAATATAATTATTTTGTGAAAATACCCTCATGAAGACAACTGACTCATCATACTTTGGTCAATAGCAGCAAATCAATGGGTTTGAGTAACACGATGTATGCTGATATAAAATTGTGTTTGGGCAGAACTGTTTAGGACAGCATGGTCAGCAGCTAGAAATGTGTTGCTTCCTTGGGACATTATCCAGTTCCTAGAAGAGATGCCCTTTTTATTTGTGGTTGTTTATATCTACCTCCTCTGTCATCATGGCTGCTTATAGGCCCCTCAGGATGCAGCGCCACTTGGAAAAGTGAGCTGGGGCAAGGGGTGGGGTGTTATGACTACATACTATTAAATGCCGTAGATCCCATGTGTCATTGACCCCAACAGATTTGGGTTATAGCTTTTTCCAATGTACAAAGATCTACTTTAAGGATGACGGGGTCCTCTGGGAGGGTTAAACTGGTGGTAAATATCACTATATGTATTTATAGTGTGATTTACCACCAGTTTTTTTAATGACATCAGTAGTAAACTGATGGTCATCAGTAAAGGGAAGTTTGGATTTGGCAGAGGGCAAGATAATTTGGGGGGAGTATATTCCTAAATAATTATTCCTCTGTTTGTTTATTCATGTGACTCCTTTGGGTCAAGCATTGGTGTGAGCTGCCCAGGGCAGCATTTTTGACAGCAGAGCAATGCAAGAAAATATTGGCTCCCTGAGGTAGGGTTGTGGAAGGTGAGGGAGGGAGACTTGGAAAAAATTGCATTAATTTTGCTGTTTGGCCCAGTGCCTGGGAAGAAAATACGCTGTAACCATTGGTTATGAAGGTCTTCTCTGGAAGGCTACACACCTTAGCCTCCAGGGCATAGGCTCTCATTGTAACCAGTATTTTGTCCTCCAGTTCAACCAGGTGGCTCTCAGTTGGTTCTCTTTTAGCTGGTAAAGAGGATGAACAAAACAGGGTGAAAGCAGAGCGAGGTAAAACAAAGTAAACAAGGCGGAGGGGGGAGGTGGAAAGATTTGTACCGATTCTTTTTGGCCATCTTACATGTTCTGGGGAAAAGGAGGTCACACCTCTACTCTCCCATGACCTTTCTCTCTTGGGTCCATCAACCTCTTCCAAGGTGTTGCCTTGGGGCTTATGGATTTTCTTTTACTTCAAGAATCGTTGACTGTAACTTTCCCATAAATGTGCATGTGTGTGTGTGCATGCATGTGAGGGTAAGAGAGATGCTGCAGTCAGGCAGGCATAGCAGTTTTTTTTTGGTCAGAGATGTAAAGAGTAGTAAGAATCTGGATGAATAGGTCCTTCACTTTGAAAAAAATATCTTCACTGGAGCCCAGTAGCTGGCACCACCTCAATAATGTAAGCCATAATGGAGTGGGAGGGATTTTATTAAAAGAAAATCAATAAACATTTTATACTTTGAGACAAGTGTTCCCTAGTGCCATATTGCACTCTCTTCTGGCCTCTTGTTGGCATGGTCAACTGAACAGAAAAAACTGGGCTTCCTCCACCCTCAGTTGCTGTGTCTCCTTTCCTGCCAGTGTTCTCAGCCAGCCATCGTGCCGTGCGCACAGCTCGCTGCAGGTCTGTGGTCAGTGGGGAAGTCAGTGATCCAGCTTGTCACGTCATGTTTCCAAAATACTGCACTATTATAGTTATCTTTTGTGTTTATAATCCAGCTTCTCCATGAATGCTTCAAGACTCAAACAATTATGGGATGGGTGGGATTGTCTCCTTGCCAAATAATAAATTACCCTTCCTTGGATTCCAACTTCCACCCTGGACAGGAAAGCTATGGCTCTGTTTCCATTTACAGATTAAGTAATGAAAATTCACTCCAAACCTTGGTGCTATGCATAATTTTCATCAGTAGTGTTGTACATTCTTATTCATATTAATAGACTTTTAAACCTCACTCCATCCCCCATACACACACACACACACGCACGCACGCACGCACGCACGCACACATACATTATTCTGTAATTTACTCATTGGGATGGAGTGAAAAATAATTGCCTCACTTAGCAAAACTTTTTTTTTTTTTTCCCCAACTGATGGCTTGCAAACTTTACAAATTTTTTAGAAAGTGTTTATGGTTAAAGAGTGTTTGTGATTTCCATTTCTACTTTTAAAATAAACAATAAAACGATGTTTGGACTGATTTTCTCTTGCCTTAAATATGTGTTTGGCTGAGTGTGTGTGGCACTTAACAGAGATCAGATGAGATAACTCATGATTTGATTGCTCAGTTCCTTTAAGGTTAGCTCAATGCCTCAGCCTACTAGGTTTATAACCCTTTTTTTCATTGTCATTCATAGTCCTTGATTACATAAGAGTCAGGGTCAAGGCACAAAACAGACGAAATGCTCATGTTCAAATTATGTAATTTGATGAGAGTTTAATGAGGAGAATATTTAAAATATGTGAAAAACATCGGGGGTGGGGGGTGGGGGAGGGCGGAACCACGAGAAAAAGTGGAGCACACTGTGACTAATATAGAGAGCTATGGTCAAGCAAAGCCTGAAGAGGTGAGGAGATGGAGAGAACCCCTTCCCAGGAGCTGCAACTTTTAGTCACAAGACTCAGCCAGCCTGTGGTGACCTACAGACTGGGGAAATACATCCCTAGCTCCACCTACCTTCACTTTCTAGTGGCCAAACCCAACAGAAACCAGAGCACAAGGGATTCTTTGATGCAATCCATAAAAGCCAACTCTTTCCAATGAGTCATTGAGTAGAGAAGGATGGAGAGTAGAACTGAAGAGGCAGATGGAATGGATCTAGCATGTATTGTTTAATGCAAACCTGTAGTCAATCAATGGTTGGAGGCAGAATGCATACTTTTGCTGTAAACATGTCTCTGATCTTCACTAGATCTATACATTGCATTTATTCAATCAAAATTTATGAAACACTAAGTTGTCTATAGTACTTCAAAAAATCTATAATCAAAAAAGTATAGTAATGATTATGGCTATTTTGACTCTTCATTTTTTGAGGGAAACACACATCCAAACCTAGCATTATGGTAATTGTGAAAATATGTTTGTAAATCACTACTTGAAAGCTTATCTTTTGTTTCTTCATATGTAAAATTTATAAAAATAAGCTAACTTTTTGAAAATCAAAATTAAAAAATTTCGAACATCAATTCTTGAAACCAGTTTTAAATGCAGTATACACATTGAATATCCCTTATCTGAAATGCCTGGAACAAGAAGTTTTTTGGATTTAGATTTTTTTAGGATTTTGGAATATTTGCGTATACATAAGATGCCCTGGGGACGGGACCCAAGTCTAAGTATGAAATTCACTTATGTTTCATGCTACACCTTAAACACAAAGCCTGAAGGTAATTTTATACAATATTTTAAATAATCTTGTGCATGAAACAAAGTTTTTACTATGAGTTGTCACACGAGGTCAGGTGTGAAATTTTCCACTTGTGGCATCATGTTGGCACTCAAAAGGTTTTGGATTTTGAAGCATTTTGGATTTTTGATTTTTAGATTAGGGATGCTCAACCTGTAATACATAGTTAAACTTTGTCTACATTTTTTATGCAGTTCAGTTCCTGTATTAGGCTATTTTCACGCTGCTGATAAACACATACCCGAGACTGGGCAATTTACAAAAGAAAGAGGTTTATTGGACTTACAGTTCCACGTGGCTGGGGGGGCTTCACAATCATGGTGGAAGGCAAGGAGGAGCAAGTCACATCTTATGTGGATGGCAGCAGGCAAAGAGAGAGCTTGTACAGAGAAATTCCCGTTTTTAAAACCATCATAGCTCACGAGACTCATTCTCTGTCACAAGAACAGTGCAGGAAAGACCCGCCCCCATAATTCAATCACCTCCCGTTGGGTTCCTCCCTTGCCATGTGGGAATTGTGGGAGTTACAATTCAAGATGAGATTTGGGTGGGGACACAGACAAACCATATCAGTTCCCTAACCAAACATACTACATTAATATGAATTATTTGTCTATAAATAATATGTATTTTCATATATAGTTTACATAGCATGCAGTGTTTTTTAAAATGGGAAAACATCAAAACTATATTTGTAGTAAATATTGTTAAAAAATAACTTGAGAATGAACTTAGGGTACAATATGTAAATTATACACAAAAATGCCAAAGTGTTTAAAACTACTTCATGGGAGTGCAGTTGGGATATTACATGGGTAGGGAAAGGGATTACAGAGTATAAAAATAATGGAAAATACTGACTTGGGCCTTTCAGGAATGTCCCCTTATCAACTTAAAGCAACATACTCTACTAATCTGAAAATGTGTACCCTGGGAGTTAAGGTTAAGGACAGGGAAGGGAAGTTTAAGGGTGAGGATTCACGCACTGGTTGGGCGGGTTTGGTTATTTGCCTGTGTGTTTGTGCAGCTATAGCAGAGGAATCCTCTCCCGGTAGCCCCAGGAGGATTATGAGTAGGTAGAGAGGGGGCAGTACAAGGGCAAGGAATCTAGGATGCTCCATAAAGCCCCTGCCCACATGACTGCTGGAGGCCTGGCCCTTCTCTCCTTGGCTGAGTATCAAGAAAGGGGACAAGGACAACCACTGTTCTACTCTCTGCTCCTATGAGTTTTGACTATTTTAGATTTCTCACACTAGTGGTATCATGTAGTGTTTGTCCTTCTGTGTCTGTCTTATTTCAGTTAAGCATAATATCCTTCTATAGATTCATCCTAGGAGGGGGAAATGGGGAATTACTACGCAAAGGGCACAAAGTT